CTGGGCTCAGGAGAGGCTGCGCTGCAAGGACCCTCCGATTCGGCCGCACACAAGCTCTTCTCCAGCAGGTCGAGCTCCTCCTCTGACAGCACGCGGAGCAGGTCCCTGCCGGAGACGGGCATGAGGAGACCTTCCCAGGCTGGGGGGCTGGGCCGGGCGCGAGGGGAGCCAGAGGGCGGCTACAGGCCACTTGGGGCCCCAGAGCAGCTTGAGCTGGGCCCCTCCCCAGGCACCAGTACCAGGAGCGCACCGGCGAGGCAGTCTGCGCCGGGCCAGGGTCGTGCCGCCAGAGGGCACCGCACACACGCTTTGTAACCCCCCTGGAGCTCTGCACTGCCCAGCCCTCCCCCTCCCCACCCTGCTCCCCACTGCCCAGCCCTCCCCTGCCCCACGGCGCTCCCCATCCCCACTGCCCAGCCCTCCCCTGCCCCACGGCGCTCCCCCTCCCCACCCTGCTCCCCACTGCCCGGCCCTCCCATACCCCACGGCACTCCCCGCACCCCACTTCCCACAGCTCAGCCCTCCTCTGCCCCACAGCGTTCCCCCACCCCATCCTGCTCCCCACTGCCCAGTGCACCTACCTGATTTTTTTCAGCACGCTGTGAAAGGGGCTGAAGACTTTGGACATCTCCTCGGGCGTCCGGTCCAGGCTGAGGGGCCCCTCGGGATAGATGAGGAGCCCACTGCATGCAGGGAGAGGGCGCAGCCTGATCAGCTCCTCCCTGGGCTGCCCCCTCCCAGCCCCGTCTCAAAGCAAAGTCTCTGTCTGGGGCTCCAAGCCAGAGGGCACCAGCCCCAGCCCAGCCACTCTGCCCCCCTCCCACCAGCAGCTGGGCAGTGCCCGGGCCGGAGGTGCAGCTGAAGGGTCAGCGAGCGGCTGGAAGGGGCAAGGGGCGGTGCAGGCCCTGTGTTTGGGAAGCAGGTTCCAGGTCCCCTAGGAACACGCCTGGGGCAGCCGAGCTAACGGGGAGAGGGGCTCAGCTCCAGGTGCCACAGGCCAGCGACCCTTCTGCAGCAGCAGGGCAAGGAAGCGCCCAGCGTGGGGAGGGAGCAGGAACCAGCCCAGACCTGGGGCAGCTTGGGCACGTTGCCCTGGCTTGTGTAGCCTCAGCGCCCCGGCACCCCTGCACGGAGCTGCCCACTCACCTGATGATGGCCAGGCGGGGGATGGTGAACATCAGCAGCGGCTCGCACCCGTCAATCATGTCCTGGCTCAGGTAGCCGAGTTTCAGGGCTCTGCTCAGGGAGGGCAGAGGCAGCGGGCTTGAGACAGGCTGGGACCACGGGCTTCGTGGCAGGGCTGCAGCTGTTGCTTTAAGCAGGCCGGGCAGGCGGGCTGGGGGTCCCAGTGTACCTGACGCCCTCTCATGCCCCAGCAGGCTTGCTGGCAGTGCCCAGGAGCGCTCTCTGAGCGGGACCACAAGGCAGCAGCTGGGGGGCTGGGGCCGGTCTCTGCCCCACATTGTGGGAGTCCAAGCACCCTGCTTCCAGGAACGGCCAGGGGGATGCTGCAGCAGCTCAGCACCCAGCCGGCTCCTGGAGTGGTGGAGGTCAGAGCTCCCCGCCCCCAAAGGAGTGGGGAGCTGGGGCTGGGGTGTCCCCACTCCTGTAGCGATTGGCATTCAGCTCCCATTCACCATGGGCTCCAGCAGCCCCTGTGTAAGCTGCAGGGGAACTACACCCCAAAGTAGGAGGATGAGGGGGGAATTAGCAATTCTTGCCCGGGGCCTCTCCCCTCAGGGTGCCCTGCCAGCCACACAGCCCCTCACCTCTCCACTGTCTCACAGAAGAGCACCACGATCTCCTGCTGCTTGTAGAGCTCCTCCGGGGACTTCAGCGAGACCAGCAAGGACACGTAGCTAGAAGAGACAGGCCGGCCATGAATCCCAACTCAGCCGCAGGCAGCCCCAGGGCACCCAGCGGGGCGCCACGGAACGCCCTGGCCTGGAGCCAGGGGCCCAGATTGTGCCCAGGGGGCTCCTGACAGCAGCTCTAGCCCTGCTTGGCTCCCTCCAGAGCAGCTTGTCCCGGCAGGATGCCCTTCGTTACAGCCCCCCACACTACGAAGGACGAGCAGCTACCGGCGTCCTGGACCCGCCACGCCCAGCCTGGCTCTCTCTGGGCTGCCGGGGAATGGCGGGGGAGCTGGCAGAGGCTAATGGCCTGCCCTGCCCAAATGCTGAGTTCTGCGCCTGGCATGTACCTGAGTTCAAATTCAGCGAAGAGCGTGTCAAAGCGGATCAGCGCCATGCGCACGGGCTCCGAGCAGGGGCTGGCCTGGCTCAGGCTCTGCTCCCGCAGCACTTTCCGCACCAGCTGCAAACTGCACAGCAGGTTCTTGGCCAGGGGACGCAGCTGCAGCCCATCCGCCTCTTCCAGCTCCAGAACGGTGCCTGCCACCAGACACTGTGGAGAGCACACGAGCAGCTCACCGAGCCGGCCCAGCGCAGCCCCTCCCCTGCCCTCCTCGCCGAATCCCACCACCCCTGAGAACATGTGACAGGAGGCGGGGGCTCAGCACAGGCCCAGGGGACAGGCGGCCTCCGCAGAGTTGGGCCCGGCACGTGGTCTGCTTGGGCGGAGCCCAGGGCTGGACAACTGGGCGTGGTGGGGGAGCACCTGCATGGCACCTCCCCTCAAGCTATCTGGGGAGAGCAAGTGTTTGTAGCCCCTGGCTCTCCTGGGTGCAATCCAGTCTAGCATGAGGGAGACAGTACAAAGGATCCTGGCTCCCTCCCTGCGCCCCCCAAAAGGGGGTTCTGAGGGTCCAGCCAGCACCAGGAAGTGCTTTTCCTATGAGGACTGGGGTAGGGGAGCTCCCGGACTGCTCCCCAGGGCTCACCGCAGGCTGACCTCAGCTGCAAACAGCACGTGGTTCCCCAGATTGTCCACCAGGAGCTCCTCCGGGAACTTGGCCAGGTAGTCACGGCAGTGCCTCTCCTTGGGGATGCACTCGTCCATGAGCCGCTCGATGAGGGTCAGCAGGTGAGCCTGGGCAGGGGAACAGGAGGCGTTCTGTTGAGATGCTGGTCGCTGGCGGGTCCCTGCCGAGCCATGCACCATGTCTCCCAGCTCCTCCGCCAGGGCCCCAGCCCTCCCTCCGCCCTCGCTGAGCACGGGCTCTCTGCGCTCCCCCAGAGCCCGCTGAGGGCAGGACACGCTCCTTGGGCCCCGTGCAGGAGGCAGGGCTCTGGCTCACAGGGTACCTGGCTGAGGTGCAGCTGGTTTAGCAGCACCAAGTATTGCTGAGGGTCCGTCTCCACGTCCAGCCCGTTTATCTCCATCACCACGCGGGTCACCCGCTCGTCGGCGTAGAAGAACTGGGACAGCAGCCTGGGGTCGGAGCGCTGGCGAGAGGCACAGGCAGAAGAGGTTGTTAGTCCGTCAGTCACTGCGGCACTCCGAGGAGCAGAGCGCTGTGGCTCCAGCCTGCCCCAGCAGGAGGCACTGCGGGGAGCCCTGGGGAGGGGGAGGGGGAGGGGACAGGCCCAGCTCCAGCGCCCCGTCCTGCTGGGCTGACGCGCTGCAGTGTTCGGCCCCAGGAGCTGGTGCACCAGCACGACATGCGCGGCCGGGGGGGGTGTCCGGTGCCAGGGCAGTGAGCGCAGGAGGGGCACAGGAAAGACTTACAGCACCTGCCTCCTCCCAGCCCATTGCGCGAGGGGCCAGGACTGTGCAGAGCGCCCTGGGCTGCTTCAGGGACAGGCCGTGGGGTACTCTGGGCGCTGCTGCCAAGCGTGTGAGCACAGGGAGGCGATGGGACGGGCTGGGCTCTCCTCAGGCCAGACAGCAGCACCATGTTCTGGTGAACCAACCATGGGCCTTGAGCCAGAAAGCCCCAAGGGGCACCGTGTCCTTTGGCCCCTCGTTTCACTCCCCGTTCCTGGGGGGCTAGTTCATGGCACGGGGCCGGGGGCGGCGACAGCGACACCGCACCACAGAACCCGCTTGTCACAAGGCGCTCCCAGCCCTTCGCTCAGTGCGCCAGCGACTCACCCATGCGCCCCCAGAGCCGGGCACAGAACCCAGGAGTCCTGTCTCCCAAGGCCCTGTCTTAACAGCTAGATACAGTCTTGTGCAGCATGGACTGCCAAGTGGCCCCATTCTTGCCGACTGCCTGGCCAGGAGCACCCAGCTGCTGCCCTCGGTGGGGGTCTCAGCCCCCCAGGCTGCTCCCAAGGAGAGCTGTCATGCCAACACCGTCTCTAGGCAGCCTCGGGCCAGCAGAGCTGCGTGCAAAGCAGGAGGCTGAGTTCAGAGCAGCCCCTAGCCCCCACCTGGCCCTGGGGTGACTATGTCCCAGGCCGTGACAAACAGCCCTCTAGGGCTCTTGGGGCTGTCGGCCTCCCTTCAAGGTCTCTGGGCCCAGGAGAGCTGAATACACCAGTGCTCCAAGCCACTCCTGGCCACAGCAGGCCCAAAGCAGACAGGACAGCTGGGTTCCCAGCACGGGCGCTCCAGAGGGGGAAGGGGTTGGGTGGCGAACGCCGCCAGTGTGTCGTCACACCAGGCGTGCCCGGAGCTTTCCTGCAGCTTTTCCACTGCCGGAGGAGCCAGGAGCCCCTGCCCTGAGGGCAGCACAACAGATCCCAACTGTCGCTGACAGGAACATTCATCCGTCCGTCCGTCCATCCCCCCAAGCCCAGCACGAGCTACGGCTCAGGAATGGAATTGTCTCAGGGCCACCCTTGACCAGCAGGGGGTGCTGCAGCGGGGTTTGGGGCAGCGGGAGGGCTGCAGGGTCTGTCGCTCAGGCCCTGGCACACACCCCGCCGGCGCACATGTGCGGAGCTATTCAGGGAGGAAGTCACGGCCCCCGCCTAGGCCATGAGGTCACACAAACCCCGGGCAGGCATGGCGGAGCTCACTAGGTAAGAGGCCAAGCAGTCTCAGCCTGGAGCAGGTTAGCAGCACACACCCATGCAGCACGCCCGGCCTCTCGCACACGTCCTCAATCCAAGCCATTCCACCGTTCGCTAACCACCCAGCAGAGTTTATACAGCAGCTGAACTGGACTGTGCAGAGGCAGCTAGAGCGAGTGGACCAGGCACAGGACTGGGATCGGGAATCCTGGAGCTCTCATTTTGGCTCCACCCAAACCCCACACTGTGGCCTGGGCAAGTCCCACGTCCCCTGTCTGTGCCTCAATTTCCCCAGGTGTAGATCAGGGTTAACGAGCTCAAGCTGGATCCCAGTAGGGGTGGGGCTGGATGTGTGTGCACATCACACTCAGGTGCAAGAGCCTGAGACGGCAGCCTTTGTGACAGGGTGACTGCGCCCTTGGGGGTAGTGAGGGCTGGTGGTCAGTCAGCCTCTTAAAGCCTGGGCCTTGTACAGAGGATGAAGAGCGAAGGAGGGTAGAGCTGGGTGTGGGGAGAGCAGGAGATGGGCCCAGGGCAATCAGGCAGACTCAGGGAAAGCCCAGGCTGCTGTCCCGTTAAGGTCCTGGGACCAGAAGCCTTGTAGAGTGGCTGGGAGCAGAGCTCCACACACGCGTGTTGCCGCTGGGGTGACACGTCACCCCCCCCCCCAGGTATCCAGGGACCACAGCGTGGAGAGGAGACCAGAGCCCTGGAGCTGCTCTGTCCCCATCACACACACACACACGGTCCCGGGGCCGTGCACACAGGGGGTCACCTGGCACCAAGACCCTCACTCCTGCACCTCGGGCACTGGACCACCTCGCCTCTCCAAAGCCCCCAAACCTACTGTGACGCTGCCAGCAGGGCGAGGGGCGGCGTCCCGCGTGGGAGAGTCGCAGCCCACAAGGGCCGCGTGTGGAGGGGAGAGGAGGCTCTGGGAGGTGCGGGTTACACTGCTCAGGGACAGCAAGAGAGCCCCTGTGGGCCTCAAAGCATCGCTCTGCAGGAGGCAAACCCACCCAGCCCCGAGCCTACTAGCAACGCAGCCCCCGGCCCCGCGGGGAAAAGCCTGGACAGTGGCCATTAGCCACCTGCAGCTCTTCCCTTCCCCCGGAAGCCAGCCCCTCCTTTGCAGCGTCTAACGCCAGCCCCCGTACTAGGGGAGCAGGGCCTGGATCCACCGGCTGAGCTGCCCCTGGACAGCCCTGTCTCCAGCCCCTCTGCTGCAGGCAACAGACTCTTCCCAGTCACCCAGGACTCACGCTGGGGCTGCCATGGGGAATCCCAGCCTGGGGCTTCCCTGTAGCTTCACTCCTGGCTCTCGGCCAGCTCAGCTGTGCCCTCCTGTTCCTTCCCCCAGCTCCCCCCCAGAGACAGACGCAGCTCCTGGCGGTGGGTCACCCAGGGCCAAGGTAGGGATCGTCCCTCCTGGGCCTTGCTTGCTACTGTTCCAGTCTAGGTGTCGTGACCCTGAGCGCCAGGCCCCGTCCCGTCCCCCATCCTGGATGGGGGAAGAGAACCCCCCGCCCCCCATGTTGCGTTTTTTAAGCCCGAGTGGAAGGCCTGGGACTCCTGTAAACAGCTCCGGCCTGTTTACACCCTTCAGGCATGTGGAGGCCCTGGCCGTGACCCTCCCCCACCCGCCTTAGTCACCTCTTAGACATGCTCTTGTACCATCTTCCCACAGCTCTGGCCCAGCCCAGCCCCGGGTCCCAGCCCTGCTGGCAGAGCAGCAACTGGGGTCCGGTTTCCACTCCGGCCAGACAAGCCTGTCCAGCCCCTGGAGCGTGCGCTGTGCTGAGCAAACCCCCCAGCCTAAGCCCCTCTTCCCCGAGGGCACGTGCAGAGCCCCCTGCACCCCAGAGCTAGGCAGGCCAGGGGTGTCCCTGGGAACCCACAGGAGCCAGGCCCCAGGAGTCAATGGGACACTTCCACCCTCTCTGCCCTGCCCAGAGGGCTGGGGCTGCCTGGCGCTCCAAGCATGGGGGCGGGGGGTGGCTGGACAGCAGCAGCTGGAGCAAGCAGACAGGCTCCTTGGCAGTGCCAGGTGAAGGGACAGCCTAAGTGCCTGGTTCAGACCGGGGCACTTACGCCAGGGAGCCGTGGGGGGCTGCAGCACCCCCTGGCCAGGGCAGGGCAAAGGGCCCGAGAGCCAAGCCCCACCCCAACATTGCCAGTCCAGGCTGCCCCCCTCCACCTCAGAGAATCGCTGCCAGCCCCAGGGCAACCCACCCCTCATCGGATCCTTGGCTTGGCTGCCCCACAGGACCCAGGGATGAGTTCCCGGCCATCCCTGGGGAGAGCACGGGGGGGTGTGTGTGCTGGGGCAGGGGGGGTCCCTGGCAGCCCCCCCGGGGGCAGAGGGGAGTCCCGGGGGTGGGGCGGGGTCCCTGCCAGTCTCCCCGGGGGCAGAG